ATTAAAAAAGACAGTATAGATTTGCAATGGAACACCTGTTTGCAATAGTAAATGTTAATGCATTTTTTGGAGTTGTATAAAAAAATCATAAGCCATACTGTTAATGACTTCCAATATAAAACTTAGTGCATTTTCTGAGTAATCTGTTAATACGTATTCCATTATCAGAGCGCTACTGGAGAGCTTACGTTATTAAACATATTTCAATATGACTTCAAATAATTTTTTTATATGTTTGGTACATATAAATAAATTATTTGAAGTCATATTTTAATATTAACAGGAATGAAATCATGTGCCGACCTTCAAACAGCGTTATCGATTATTGTATTGGAATGTATAATTCCGAGAATGTGAATTTATATGCAGATGTTAAATAAGTTACAGCCTTGTAATGGTGGGGCCTTGTCAGTATTAATATTGACAGAATGATTTAAGTGTCACATGAATTGCTCCACGTACGTCACAGGCCTTGTTGCAGAGAGGGCTGCAATACGCGATAGTTATTACTGACACCATGCGTCGCCACTTTTGAAGACATAATATTTCCGTCCCCAGTAATTTTGCCTACAAATGTATTTTATTTACATCTTGTTATATTAGAATTAGGTATTTCTATCCATGATAATATATGTAATATAAGTTTAAGTTTATTGTGCAAAAAAACAGTTCCAAAAAATGTTAACTGTTTTGTTCCTTTTCTTTACCTAATAGAGTATCATCATTTCAGCCCGGAAGGTATCCACTGCTGAAAAAAGGCTTCCCCAAAAATATGCTAGCCGATAGTAAATAAAATGACGGTCTTGGTAATCCAGCTATACCGCCTAACTTCCGATAGCCGTGGGTCTGATTTTTTACACGATACAAACATTCGTATTGTATTGTATGAGCACGAATATTTATATTCGTCTGTATTAGTCTATTATATATACACATATATTAAGTACCTATTTACAAGAAAAATATATAGATATTTAAGCATCATTATTATTATTACATCTTTAAAACTACGTAACGGATTTTGAAGCGGTTTTTTTTAATAGATAGAGTGATTCTAGAGGAAGGTTTATATATTTTATATAATACCTATATTTAGCTATATGCGGGCGAGTAGCTAGTTTATGTATAATAGATACCGCTGTGTAAATTGACCAGGGACATTTATTACAAATACAGAAGTATTTATTAAAAAGACATTTGTTACTTAGCGTTACTGAGGATAATGTTAAGGAGATGGACTTCTACATCGTTAAGTCGTCTGAGTGGTGACCTCTGGCTACCTATTTCAGCAGTCACACAGTTTGCATTGTGAAATATGGTTGAAGAGTGGAATAACGTAGTAAAATTACAGGGTAATATGCATCATGCCATAGTAGGTACTCAGGAATGAGGGTGCATGAGTATCACGACTGTCGTAGCGTGATGCGGTACTGCTATTCATGTATGTATATTAGTAACAAATACCACTTACTATCATAACGGTCGTCTGTTTATTATACATATATATGTGTATATGGTACACAGTTACCCAGATACATCACCATAAATCTTTGGAAAGTCTGACCTGCGTTACTTAAACCGAATGGCATTTTTGTAAATTCGAAAATCCAAACAGAGTTATAATAGCGGTTTTTTCTGGTTCTGCAGTGAGAATGGAATGACAAGCTTTCCGGACGTCAATTTTGCTGAAGATGGATTTTCCACTAGCAATATACGAGAAATCCAATATCTTTGGTAGTGGATATCTGCCTGGTACGGTAATATTATTCAATGCGCGGTAATCACCGCATGGTGCCCATTCATCATTTTCCTCTTTTACCATGTGCAGTGGACTAGCCCATGGACTGCTTGATGTCTGTATATACCAATTTCCATCATGTCCTGAAATTCCTTCTTGGCGGCTTTATATTTATCTGGAAGAAGAGGACGAGCTCGAGCGCATACAGGAAATGCTTTTGTTATGATGTGATGTTTGACATTATGTTGTACGGGGATATTCATCGATGTAGGCCTTGTGATTTTTACATATTTTTATATGCTTAGGTAGTTCGGGAGTCAATGGAGTCAAATGGATGGACTAATAAGCGGCAAGCCTCTAGAAAATCAGGTCCCAATATAGGCATTTTAACGATGTAAAGGAACGTCTTAAACCCAAACTTAAGATTAGGGTTTTTTCCCCAAATGTCGTTATCACGTTTCTGTTTGCGGCGAATAATTTGACTTCACTAGCGCTCTCTTTGGTCTGTGCTTGTTTTTTAATCACCGAGATATTTGCTCCGGTGTCCACCAAAAATCTATAGCCACTGTTAAAGTCGGTTATAGTCGATTAGACGGATGAACAGCACAGAGTTCCGCCTTGTTCTGTGCTGAGCCTAGTTTTTGATCTCTCACGTTCATTTCTGCGAGCAGTTTGTGGAAACGTCTTTGTTCGCTCTCCTCATAACAGTCAACCAATCTGTCTTTAATGACTGAGTATTTATTCTGTATCTCTGGCGGTGGATTTGTAAGTATATCGCTGACTTAGTGGCGACCTCTTTTGGCAGTTTGGATATCACCGCATTAAATTTATATTCGTCGCCTTGTTTTTGAGGTGCGATTATTGCCTCAAATTGCGCAAACCACAGATGTGGCGAGTCTGTCCAGAATTCAGGTAACCGCTCAGTGACGGTTATTGCAGCGATGACTATACAGCTATTGGCAGACATGCCCGATGTACTAGGCATGTTTGTTCCTGTTTTTGGCATAGGACGAGCCATTGTTAACGCTGTGATGAGTAAAACAGCTGGCCAGTATTATATGGTGGTCAATAGTATGGCAGGATTCCTTGTTGCATAGTGTTGCTAATGATGGTTGTGCCTCTCGAATTTCCGAACCGGCTTACTGGTTCGGAAATTCGAGAGGTCTTAACCCACTTCTGGGAATCCGGAGGAAATGTGCAATCGTTGGTTGTGCACAAGATGACGCCAGACAAAGATCTCTTGTTTGATCTCGTCGTTTTCCCAGGGTGTCATGTTGCCAACTGGATCACGTCGGCCAGATCACGTCGGGGTTACCACTGTTGCGGGAAAATGATACTGTCTAAGTTGTTGGTTTGTATCATTTTCCTACAACAGTATATATGTATTACCTTTTTGTAATAATAGATATATATTTGTAGAATATTTGTGTAAAATTAAAAGAATAATATATTTTGTATGCCCTTGCTATGACAAAACAGATGGTCTTATTCTTAAGTTGTTATCTTTTATACTGTCTTTTTAGGCAAATATAGAAAGGATTATTATTATATTACTATTTAAATAATAATTGTTGGCACTAATATATTAACTATAAGGTACATATGTGCGTTTACAATTATTATCATTGTGACGCAAATACGGATAACGAACCAAATTAATCGAAGGCAATGCAATAGGTTCACTCCTTCACCCCTATAGACTGGCGCGTTAGAATCAATTAACTGAACGAAATGTGGCAACGTCAAGTGTTGCATACAGCACAAGTTGACAATTTACAACACATCTCCACTATCGCATCCGGTGATTACAGTCTGAAACCTACATATAAAGAGGTAGTATATGTTGTCTTTTTGTAAATCACTTATTATAAGCTACATTTTGACGGCCTTGGTTTGGTGGTTTGCACACCACGGTACAACGGTATGTATGTATTTACAAAATGTACCTATAACACAAACCGTGCTTAGATTGGGACTAGACGGCACTGTGTGAATTTCCTGAGATATTATTATTATTATATATGTATATAGGGATTTTTATAATATATATATATATATTTTATAAGAGTAATACGAGATTTTCGTCTGACGTCAAGCAGCTTGTTTTCGAAGCTGTGTTACTGTTGTAGGGTAGTTGAGATAAGGCAGTATAGGATAAGAGACATGATACCTTAGTTCTCGGATATAGCAATGTATGAGTCGTATTTAATTGGTTTTGTTGGTATTTAATTGACGTAATAACGGATGTCCATAGTACTCTTTATGTATATAGGACGGTAAATACCATCAGATGGCCCTTCAGCTTGTTCGCCATTGCCGAATCGCAGTCTATAATCGAAACAGCAATGCAAAATAAACAGGTGGCTGAAATAAACGAGACTGAGATACCTGACGCAGGCTACATACAGACTGCGTCTTTGGTGCCTAAATACTGCAGAAAAATAAATAATCTTTATTCAAATAAACTTAATATAATCATTTTTGAACATTCATATTTTTATGATTTTACCACTCATTCGGAACCCAGACTCTTCACAAGACGAATGAGCAAGTAACTTGCGTATTACTCTTTTGAATAAATATTGTTCAGAATTATATATTATATTGAAGAAATTTATGTGTATATATAATGATATCTTTTTTCTTTACAATACTCTTTTTTTATTATTAAGAAACTGCTTTGACGATGTTATTAGAACGATATATATTACGTAAACGAGGAAGGAAATCACCTTTGGGAGATGGTGTAGCGGAAAGGCAATGCAGTGTCGAGCTTATTAAACTCTAGCGAGAGCAAGTTGAACCGCATACCTTTTATCTTTTGTAGCTTTAACTTACTTTAATAACGTTAAAACTGTAACATGCGCTTCAAAAGCAAATGACAAATAGTATTGTAATATTCATTAATGACCTGCTGTGGCTGTGTAACGGTGTAGCGGTGTCTTAGTTTTTCAGGAAATAAAATGTATTTGCAATAAAATAAATCTAAATAAACCACTTTCAAATGTAAATAAATAAATGTAATTATTCATATCTGATGCTTTGCTCCACTTGTTACGGGTTTGATCTCTGTACAGTGCAAACGTTTCTATTCATGAATATGTCTGGTTATATTTATTTGAATAAAATGGAGAGATATCGTGTGATTTTATTGCATATCCTTATTACCGTAACTCCGGATGGCTGCATTTCAAAGTGTGAATGTCACGTGAAATGAACCATAAGAAATGTCCACATTTTACTGAGAATATCTGCATCAAAGATGGCAGGAGGCACGCCACCCACCGGATTAAATTTCGCGAATATCGACAGTGGTAAAATAATTTTACAATTTAAATCGGAAATTCGTATTGCATATAAATCAAAATATGATATGATAAAACAATTTATTTTACTTAATTAATATATATTTCAACATCAAACCTTTGTCGTCACAATAATGTCATATCGGAAAATTATATTGGTTTTCGCACAATAATCAAGTAGTTCATTTGTTATAGACCCTTGACATTTGATATCGCAAATAATTTTACAGATCTTTTCCATTGTTTCATTGGTAGACAATAATATTACTGGTAATCATAAAAACATTTTATTTGTTTATTTATAATATTTCAAAATTAACAGTATGTTTTATGTACCATCTAATTATAATCAACTAATTAGATTTGCATTCATCAAAAAAATCTCCGATTCGGGAAGGTAACAGTCGACAATCTTTATCGATTTACAATATATTGTGCATATTTTCTTAGTATTTCTATATACGAAGAATTGTAGTCACTAATGTATATCTGTATTAGGTATTGTATTGTATAGTATTATTTAAAATGAAATTCTGTTGATTCTCTTTTCAATTCTTGTCGATTGGCATTGGGAAAGAAAGAGTACATATAACGTAATGTTATAAATATCTTGTATGAACTCGCATAAATATGTATGTAACCTATATGTAACATATTTTTGATTTCGGTCGTATGATTCGGGATAAAGATTTGCTACGCGTTTCTTAATAACTGTTGTTGGTAATTAGCTTTCATTCCATATCTTTTTTATTTAATGGATTATAATTAAATGGGGACCCGCCTACACTGGTGGAAGATGTTAAGATAAAGAGTGACTATTCAAAAGTGGTTATAATGAGTTTATTTGTATATTTCTATTGTGGCAAATTCAAGAATTTGCTATGGTTGTTTCCAAGGAGAATTACAAGGAGATCGACCTGACATGGTACATAGCTAGCTATGGGGTCATTAGTCAATATTACTAACAATCCCATTCACCCCTTATGGCACCATTGCTAGCAACATACACTACCTAGACGTTTTCTACATGTCCCCTTGAAATTGTATAATTACTTGTGAATTAACGGGGATGGTTTATACATCGATCCTTTGATTACGTATATGTATCATAATAGGGACCATGTGCTTATATTCTTTGATTATACAACGTAGATGCAATTGTTTCTTGTTTCTTTTCAGAAATAGTTTATGAAATACCTTGGTAGTCTAGCAGTTTAGCATACAACTTTACTTCCCATAGTCGCAGGTTCGATTCCTCGCATGGTACAAATATATGTTTTCATAGGTTATTTTGTTCTACACGTACACACGAGTATGTTACAGTAACTTTATATGTTTGTATTTAATAGATAGACACAAATGTATTTGAGCGATTTTAAATTTTATTTCTAGATAGCTATGTCATCAACTATCAAATTTGCTCAATTCTGAGGCATTACATACATTGAACATATACAGAATTTAGCTAGTAATTTATTAAAAAAACTTAACAATTTTAATTTCTTTATAGGGGCTCATTGCAAACATCCAATGGTGCCATAAAAAATCCAATTCTGGCTGGGAATGCGACAATCCGCGGAACATTACGGTATAAGCATCAAGTCACATACAAACCCTACGTAAAGCCTTACTATACTGATCATGACTATAAAAACATGTCCCTAAAGAGACCGATGTCGCCACACCTCACTATTTATGCGCCAACTTTACCAGCGATGACATCCATAACTCAACGTATTACAGGTAAATCATTATGTCATTATATCACCTACACACGACACTAAGTCAGGGGTATTTTTTAATCGACGATAATTGAATGGTGCACCCGCCTGCGTTAACGGTATACGTTAGATAATCACATATTCTATCGACATCGTTAAAACAGTATAATTTTTAAATTTAAATAAAACTCGATTCCATAAATCGAATCGCCAACACGAGCGAGCTTCAATACATTGCATAGGCAAAGTGACATGTTCGACAACCGATGTGGCCAAGATATCGATTCTATATATCGCTACACTAGCTACCGCCTGTAATGCAATTCGTATGCAGGTTGCATACGAAAAAAAATTGTTGTGCAAATTTTCGTTTAGGATAGGAATACTGATAGTAAAGATATCTATGGTAATTATTATATTTGACAACGTAAAAACCACATTGCCTTTCCATAAATTAGAAAATAGCGTAAAAGTGCTCGTCCTAGATCTCGTTTCTACCATCTTAACTTAGTCAGGTAGTTATTATACGATATTTATCACACAACGTCACAAAGCGATTGTCCATACTTTGGTGGTATGGAGAAAGTCCTTACGAGAGTGCTTTTAGGAATGAAATAGATATCCTTACCGTTGCTTCTCGATATATTTACGAAAATATCATGTATGTCAGGAAAAATATAGACAAATTCAAAAGAGTTAGTGATTACTCTCTAATAAAAGCCAACGTAACAATAACAAACTGTTTTTACCTAAATATCGTTTAAATAAAGTTAGTGATTTGTTTTATGGTAATTGCGTAAGGTTTCTCAATAAACTACCAGAGTCTGTTCTAAATCTGCCTGAAAAAATATCAGATGTCATAAAAAAGACTTCCTTTGTAATAAAGCATATTATAAAATTGAAGAGTTCGTTAACGATAATAATGTTTTTGTAGATAAATTTAAAATTCATAGCGCTCACAACATAATCTGATTGCACTAAAGTTCATTCGTAGCGTTTCTATGTTGATTATCGCATGCCTATCACTATCACAACGAATGTTAATTTGTCTACCATTTTACTTTTGACATTATAGAAAAGGAATAGCTTAGTAGCAATTGTTATTTGTTTAGGTCTTATCACCTTGCCTCGTGTGCAAAATTGGTACTAATTTTACATACATTCGCCGACCGCCTTCACCCACAGCACTACACCGATTTTAGTGTCGTGTGTAGAGTATCTACCTGTTGCCGTGTATTCGTTCGCGTGTATAATTAAACAATAACTGCGCGGGGTTAAATGTACATACGAGCGTTAGGTTTATTAATTTTATACCATCTATTATTGAGTTCAATTAACTTCTCAACATATACTTTTAGTGAGAATTTGTTTTTGTTTCTGTTACAAACTGTTTTTGCTTGATATGATACATATTAATAGAATAATAATAAGAATATCATTGGATAATTTACATGTTGGCATCTGGTCTCAAGCGAAGAGAAGAGAAGAGATTGGTTTATTGGTACTAGACAACTGATGTAAATATATATATATGTCAGTAGTATTCAGTTTAGTACTATATATCTTTAAATACATAAATTATATACATATTAAAGACTCAGACCGATACAAATAACAATATTCATGAATTCAAAGATTTGAACCGTGTTAGGAATCAAACCCGCGGCTTACAAAAGCGGTATGCTAAACCATCAGACTATCGAGGCCGTTAATATATAAGTGGTATATCGATTATTACATATTACCCGTAGAAGCCTGGCTAGTTAACTATAATAATAATCTTTATTGGAACTCAAAAACAACATTTTACAAAGTAGTGTAATGATAACAGTTACATTAGTAATTATACTGTGTCATGGCTATCAACGCCCACCACCTTAAGAAAGGGGCGTTAGAGTTCCAGTTAGTAGTAGTTTATAATAATAAATTTATATAACAAGGAAGCTATGAGGCACATTTACTATTTGCCATAACAATAAGTATTTAAATATTTGAAGTAAATGGATACTTACACAAACATCATAAATGTATAAATCTACATACAAACTTATTAGCCGATTATCACCAATTAGGTTTGTCTATGTACAAAAATCTTTGAATGCAAAAACTTAGACAATTCAGTTTATGAATGAATATTGAATGTGTTTGAATTGTTATAAGTTATTTTGTGTATAACTAGTAGTAAATAAAGTAATTTTATGTTTTCAGGTGCAGTAACAAGTTTATATGCATTGCTAGTAGCAGGCGGCACCCTCTTCCTATCCAACGGTGTAGAATCATACGTCTCCGCTATTCAAAGTTTGGATCTTTCAAGCCCTTCAATATTTCTAATAAAACTTATAATGGGTGCTCCGTTCGCATACCATTACTTATGTGGTATTCGATTTTGCGCGTGGAACGCTGGAAAATGGCTGGCAATGAAGGACGTGTATGCAACAGCGCAAAAGTGCATAATACTAGCGACCATTGTGACAATATTTTTCGCAATCTTATAGAAATATAGAAATATCTTATCGACATTACATAAAATATTCAGTGAATATAACATATTAATACAAAAAGTTTTGAAGTTCATAAGCGGCTAAAATGTCCTACATTAATATAAATTATTTTGGATTTGATTTCATTTACGATATTTAGTTTACGTTGTATTAGTTAATAAAAATGGGTGATATTTTTGTGTAAACTGTTTTCTACGTTCCTAGCTATTAGTATTCAAGGTTGTAAAATATTCCAAGCAACAAATCTTTATAATATCAGGGATTGTTTTTATTTGGCCTATGCAAGAAATTAGTGGATTATGTTTATAGCACATAAATTTGCACCGGCTTAAAATATGATAGATGCGACATCAAATCAGTTAAATCCTTTTTAGGCTATTGCAGTATTATGTTGTGGGATAATGCAGAATTTAATAATATCCAATTAGGAAACATCGATAAGTGCCTGTCACTAACAAGCTTGTGTCTTAATCTGCAATCTGCATCGAACTATATAATTCTCTATGTTGGAATATTCAACAAATCTAGTAATCTTTGATACTCACGATATGTTAAATCTACCATCAGTTCAAGAAACTTAGCTCTTTGATATGAGCTTATACATGATCACAGAAATACAGATTCAATTTCAAATTCAATTAGAGAGAATATAATAACCACCTGCATATGTTATTGCAATTTTGTTAAAAAATCTTATTGACGAATTACATTAATGTCACGATATTTTGACTATTAAAACAAATACGTAAGGACGATAAGTTCTAAAATACTCAAACATTTATGATTTTATCAGAAAATGTCAAATTGCACATTTTGTAAATACTAGTTTGTTCTTAAAAGGATTCTGATACGCAATACTTCAAAGTTTTTACATTTTGTTGGTACATAGCAGATACGTCCAATATTTTTTCTTGTACAAATATTTATTTATTGAACAGATATGACGTTTTATAAATGTGTGTTATGCAATTCGCAGTTATGAATATATCCTGTGTAGCTTTATTTTCGTCTAACATACATACGTTTGAGGGTTAAAAATTCGGTTTAAAATGTTGGTAAATGTAACATCAAAGTAACCCTGCTAAAACAAACTAAGGGATGGATGGTTTGTTTTAACAGGGTTACTTTAACGAAAGAGACTTATGAGTTTTTATCTCTTATTTTTCGCTCATTTCTGTCATCTGCAGTAATAACGCATGAGTGGGCGTGGTTGTTACATGATATCGTGTTAACAGCAGTACGGATTAGTACTGTTCACGTTGGTATATAGGCGATGGTTACAGCTGACCATCAGGTCAGCCGTCTACTTGTTTGTTTGATCACGTTCGTATATAGGCGACGGTTACAGCTGACCATCAGGTCAGCCATCTACTTGTTTGTTTGATCACGTTCGTATATAGGCGACGGTTACAGCTGACCATCAGGTCAGCCATCTACTTGTTAGATCACGTTAGTATATAGGCGACGGTTACAGCTGACCATCAGGTCAGCCGTCTACTTGTTAGATCACGTTAGTATATAGGCGACGGTTACATCTGACCATCAGGTCAGCCATCTACTTGTTAGATCACGTTAGTATATAGGCGACGGTTACATCTGACCATCAGGTCAGCCATCTACTTGTTAGATCACGTTAGTATATAGGCGACGGTTACAGCTGACCATCAGGTCAGCCATCTACTTGTTAGATCACGTTAGTATATAGGCAACGGTTACAGCTGACCATCAGGTCAGCCGTCTACTTGTTTGATCACGTTGGTATATAGGCGACGGTTACAGCTGACCATCAGGTCAGCCGTCTACTTGTTTGTTTGATCACGTTCGTATATAGGCGACGGTTACAGCTGACCATCAGGTCAGCCGTCTACTTGTTTGATCACGTTGGTATATAGGCGACGGTTACAGCTGACCATCAGGTCAGCCGTCTACTTGTTTGATCACGTTGGTATATAGGCGACGGTTACAGCTGACCATCAGGTCAGCCGTCTACTTGTTTGTTTGATCACGTTCGTATATAGGCGACGGTTACAGCTGACCATCAGGTCAGCCGTCTACTTGTTTGATCATGTTGGTATATAGGCGACGGTTACAGCTGACCATCAGGTCAGCCGTCTACTTGTTTGATCACGTTAGTATATATGCGACGGTTACAGCTGACCATCAGGTCAGCCGTCTTCTTGTTTGATCACGTTCGTATATAGGCGACGGTTACGGCTGACCAGCCGTCTACTTTTTTGATATTATATATACATGAAAAAATGCCGATGCTTATCCCCAAATTTACACCTCCAGACCAGATTAGAAAAGTCGACCTTGACGAAACGACAATGAAGATTATTTTTCAAGTACTCATTATAATTTTTACAGAAGATACAAAAAGTTGATGTTGTCACCGAAGCAATATCTTTAAGATCCTTTGGATAGAGAGAGAGGACAAAATGAAGTTACACATCCTACACATGAATGGAATAGAAAAGTAAAGTACTACATGTAATGATATATGTACATATGTACAATAAAAGAACTGATCCAAGTAACTTCGATTTGCCCATTTTTATATTCATTAGATGGTCTGCAATTTATAATAAAGAATAAATTTATTCATTGCTGTTCAACTCATATTGGCTGAATCGTGACATATATCTTTTCTCGATAAATGGGCTCCCTTAATTTTAATTGGTTTCCCTTATTAGTTTCCCTAACGGTAAAATAATTTTCAAAATCCGATCAGTAGTACCAGATATTACCCTGAATATGCAAACTCTAATAGTACCGTCGTATAATGCTTATTAGTATAAATAATACCTCACATCTATACCTATAATAAAAGTGTATTTAAATTCTGTACCGGTTTGGCTGTATGCTAATATCAAAAACGACTTAACCTATGTATTTATTTGAGGATTTGGTAAGATTTAAGTATTTGAACAGAAAAGTGTAATTGTGTGTGTACACATGTTATTATAATTTTATTAACTACATAACATAGAGGAACATAAGTTATTTACTTTTGAGGAACATTAAAATATTTTTTAAAAAGCTTCATGTGTGTAAATATCGAATGCTCGGGTAATATTTACAGCTACCGCTAAAATAGCAATAATTTGCTTTTTGATTTGCAAATAGAATGAGTAGGAAGGTAAATAAGGCCAGTAGATATATGTGTGCAGGGCCGCATGAACTATGTCGGGGCCTCTCGGTAATATTAAGTATATTAATCGGGACATTTTTTTCCTTTTCTAACTTCCTAAAATACATAAGCAATTATTGCGTATTTTTATATAATATATAATGCGTATTTTTTACTACTATCTTTTGCGAGAAACTTCATTCGAATAATATTTTGCCAAAGTTAATAAAAAATTGAATACAATTTATAGGAATGCATAGAAGATGAAGATATAATCATATATTTTCATTAATTAATCACAACTAAACGATCAGATGACCATTAACGTAATCATGAACGCCATCTATTGCATTCGATGTGATCAGAAGTAGTGTATACAAAACAATCAAATATGTATTTAAATTTTTTTCTTCAGCAGAAATATAGTTTTTGTCCACTTTATATTAAGAAGACATCGATATTTTAATGTATTATAGAACACATTAAAATATAAGAATCAAGTACAAAAGTCAAGCCTTATTTAATCTTAGCGAAACTTACACTGAAAAATTCACTGAAGCTATTTTGGTATATAACATTTTGTTTTGTTATTTAATTATATGAAGACATGTCATTTCTTTATATTATAGTTATATTGGTAAATATTGAAATTAATACCATGTATAGTGACAGAAATTGTAGATTTATATTATAATGTGAACAAAAAATAGTTTGAATAAATTATTTAGCAACGTCATAATTGGTAAACGGATCTGTCCTCGCTTACATTAGTTACATAATGCAGCTTGTCATATTGTTAAGTAAGTGTCAGTGGTTGGAAGCTGGAAATGCTGTTAGCGTCCATGACACATGAAGTGCATCTCAAATTAAATTTCGGTGACAACAGACACTGACATCCGTCGACACCTCTATATTAATGTATCAAATAATATGATAAGTATCTATTAGAGACACCAGTTGTTAGTAACTTTATCTTATTCATTTAATTGATGATAATGGAATTGGACACCGCCCTGCGCTAACGGTATACGTTGGCACTGGTACCCAGTGGAGGATGATAGGATTAAGATGAGGTCAGCCCATCGTGACAAATTTACCAATAATTTATCACGATTTGGTCAACGTGATACGGTACACTGCTAGTAAAAGGGGCGCCAGTCCACATTACTAATAATCCCCTTTTCACCTGGTTTATCTTAATGAAATAGGTCTACGCCATTGAATAGTAACTGTGATGTCAGATTGGAGGGTTTTAGTCCTTGTGGCGATGTGGGAAGGGGAATAAAATTATGGGGAGATTTGTAGAGAAAAATTAGAGTTTGAGGGTTAATGTTTTTGACGTTCATTTAGGTCAAATTATTGATGGTTTTAAAACGAATAAATGGTAAAGAACCGACCTAAAATATTTGTCATCACAAACCGAAACGAATTATCAGAAACTGTAGGTCTGACTGGTCGGTTAGATTCCACATGATTATAGTATTTCCTTTTGACTAAAATGCAATATTTCTGGTGCTGGAGGTCAAATTATCCTATTCTGCCTAATTGAATTAAAAGCAAAACTATATTTTTGTAATCAGGTACAAGCTCTCTTGAAAAGAATAATGGCTGAGTTCCTTCTCAGTTCTTATTAGCTCCTCTAAATCACTCCAAACTGATGCTAGATTTACATTACAAAAGTCTGTAATACTAACTATACTAATAAAGATATTTTGATATGTTTTGAAAAACTTTCAAGTGGTTATAGACAGACTTCTTCATTGTAGGGATTTTTCTTTAAAATCTACATTTATCTGACAACACTACAACACTGGCTAACGAACGGCACTTCACTGCATATTGTAAACGTTCAAATTGAGTGGAAAACC